GAGAGAGAGAAGAGATCGAAGGAAACTACATAAATACACAATCGCTAAGGCGTCTAAGCCATATTGTCAGATCTTAGGGTCATATTCCAGAACTCTACTCAATGTTCAAATCAGGACTTGAGTATGATTTCAAGCACTGGAAGTACGACCCTAATGGCAAGGACTTGAGTATGAATTCTAGTGCTTTAAAATCAGTCGTGACTTGAGCATTGAGTAGAGTTCTGGAATATGACTGATTAGTAAGTAAAAACGATTTCACTATAATATCCCAAAATATAAGAAGTATATATTGCAACTTTGATGATTTGTTAATTACTTTATCAACTTTAAATTTCGACCCGGATGTAATTGTCCTAACTGAATGTAGACTAGACCACGACAAACCAATACCTCAGTTGCCCAAATACCAGGCATACTTCACTAAGAATAAGTTAAACCAGAATGATGGTGTAGTTGTGTATGTAAAGAGTGGATTAAATCATAAAATAAAGGAAATAAAACTAGCCCAGGCATCTTGCCTAGAACTTAGCATATTGAATAACACTATTTTTTGCATCTACCGCTCACCTTCAAACACCAATGCAGAAAGTTTTATAGACTCTTTAAATTCTCACTTAGATACTTTAAGTACAGCTAAGACCAGTATTATAATAACTGGCGACATAAATATTAACATTGCGTCTAAACCTGTAGAGCCACCGCATGAATTGAAAAACAGAAGTAGTTATTTGAATATGTTGTCTTTGTATGGCATTCTGGCTGGTCATACAATACCAACTAGAGAAAAGAATTGCTTGGATCACTTCATGCTAAAAATCAACAAAATTAAATACAGAGCATCTATTGCTGTAATTGAAACGACTATTACTGATCATCATACAACATTTCTATCCATCACAAAAATGAAAAACCATGTAATTCCAAACAAAACCAGAACAATAATTAATTATGAGGAAGCCTTAAAAAGTCTAGAAAACGAAAACATTGCAGAATTGCTATTTTGTCATGACCCTCAAGTTGTAAGCGATAAATTAATTTATAAGCTGTCCAAATCGTTAAATGAAAATACAACTATCGTTAATATTCCAAAAAAATCTCGCATTATAAAACCGTGGATCACACCTGGTATCCTAAGATGTATAAAACATAGAAATAAACTGCAAAAAATGGCACGGTCGGACCCTTTCAATGTCATGAGTAAAATAGTTTACACCAGGTATAGAAACTATTGCAATAACTTAATAAAAAAACTTAAAAGAAATTTTGAAAGAGAATTATTAGCTAAATCTGCTAATAATAATAAATTGTTATGGAAAAACATTAAAACTATTACATACGCTAATAAATTAAATACTACCAACACTGAATTATTTAATTTAAAATCGTCTCCAACAACTTCTGCAAACTTTATAAATGACTTTTTTGCAAACATTGGTAAAGAACTGGCTCAAAAAATTCAAAATCCTACTGAATCGAAACTATACATTCAAAACATGTCAACTCAGCGTAACTCTTTTGTTCTATTACAAACTGATTACGACGAGGTGCATAGCATACTAATGAATTTAAAATCAGACAGTTCACCAGGGTGGGATAATATCCCAACCAGTTTTCTAAAATTCGCAAAGTCGGAAGTCATTCCTATTGTGACACATCTTGCTAATCTCTGTTTCGAAAAAGGTATCTTCCCAACGTCACTGAAAAAGTCGATCATAACCCCTGTGTACAAGGATGGCGACAGAGATAGTGTCAGTAATTATAGGCCTATTTCTGTATTGCCAGCAATTTCAAAAATTCTAGAAAAACTTATAAATACAAGATTGCTTAAATTTCTTGAAAAATTTAAAATGTTTTCCTCTTCCCAATTTGGATTTCGACAAGGGAAATCAACCGAAGACGCAATATCTGCTCTAAGTTCGGTAGTTGCAGAACACCTGGACAAACATAAAAAATGCATGTCGGTATTCCTGGATTTAAAAAAAGCTTTTGACACTGTCTCTGTCCCCATTCTTGTGCAAAAACTCGAAAAGATCGGTATAAGAGGAACACCACTTTGTCTTCTCAAGGATTACTTAAATGATAGAAAACAAAAAGTAAAATTAGGAAGTTACGTAAGTGAAGATGCAGAGGTGTCTTTCGGTGTGCCTCAAGGAAGTGTTCTTGGACCAACACTGTTCCTAATTTACATCAACGATCTATGTAAAATGCATATTACTAATGCAAAGATATTTTCGTACGCCGATGACACCGCTGTATTCTTCACTGCTGAAACATGGGAAGCTGTCATGTATGCTGCCGAACAGGGATTGGAGCAGATAGGAAGGTGGCTACAAAATAACTACCTCACCCTAAACACTGCAAAAACAAACTACATATGTTACAGCATATACAACGACACACAACCTGGAGAACACTTTAAAATTAAATTGCACTCCTGTTCTGACACAAGAACAAGAGCAAGCTGTGGTTGCCCCATCCTCCAGAAAGTTACGCAAACTAAATATTTAGGAGTCATTATGGACCAGCGACTCTCTTGGTATCCACACCTTGAACATGTTGTTCGTAGAATTAGGAAGTTAGTATGGATTTTTAAATCACTAAGACATGTCGTGCCAATAGTTACTGGGTCACATCAAGGTTCTTCCAGAGATCTACTTAAAGAAATATATATATCTTTAGTACAAGCTATTTTGGTGTATTGCATACCTGTCTGGGGTGGGGCTGCAAAAACAAGATTTATCGAAGTTGAACGTGCTCAACGCATCTTAATTAAGGTCATGTACTTTAAAAATATGAGATTTTCTACTGAAAAATTATATAGCCTGTGTGGACTTCCCTCGGTAAGGAAATTGTATATTATTAACACAGTTTTAAAAAAACATAAAAGTTTAGCATATGATAGTAGTGTCGCAAATAAAAGAAGGCAGGATCTTTTAATTCGAATTCCTAGTACCAACACTGTATTTGCAGATAGGCAATATGACAAGCGTGCTGTAAATCTTTACAATGTTTTAAATAGTGAACTGAAAATTTACAGTAAGCTGTATTATGAGTGCAAGAAAATTGTACAAAATTGGCTTGCAGAAAAAACATACACAGAAGTTGAAGCACTGCTGGATCCCTGATATTAAATAAACAAATACGCACTCTCTCTTTCTCTCACACACACTCACACACACACACACACACACACACACACACTCACACACACACACACACACACACACACACACACACACAAACACACACTAATAGAAAATATATATATATATATATGTATTGTAAGGAAATTTGTATACCTAGTTAGTAATATTAATATATTAATAAGTACTATTCTTTTACTTTGTTAAGTTAGTTAATTATGTATATACTGGTTGTTTTGAAACGTGTAGTTAAGAAAGAGCGGAGTCTCCTGACACAGGCTATGCTTAAAAGGAGGCTCCAGCCCTTATTGTTTAAGAAACCATGTTTTAAGATAAATAAAGATTATTATTATTATTATTATTATTATTATGACCCTAGGATTTTAATTTTTCATTCAATAATTTTTTTATGGCAAAGCCAAATTTTCATTATGAAATCCAGATCGTGAGTTAACTTACTTGTTTTTCTTGTGGAATGAAAATGTTCTGAATAAATTTATAAAAATTAGTATTTATCCTTTTTGGTTTTTTCTCTTTTTGTGATACTAAGAAACGGGACGAACAAGTCGTGGGCTTGATTAAGCCATACGCCAACAGCACATGCAGTGCCACTAGCCTTAAGTCGTAAAGATCTGAGTGACACAAGTCTTATGTGCCTGTAATTTCATCAGAACCCTTCAAACCGGAACGCAGTAATGCTCACATTACCACTTAAAGGCAGAAATAGTTAAGGCGGCAGTACTTCCCTGGACAAACTCTTTCACAAGGCTCTCTACGGATTTAAAGAGAAATGTGACAATTGGCTGTATGGTTTTAAACTTTTGCCTTAACGGAAAGAATGTAAAAACAACAACAACGTGACAATTGGCAATCTCGACTAAATATATTTTTTATATTTAAACCAACCAGTTCAAGTAACCCCCTCAACAGTTCTGCATATATATTCAGAGTTCATCACATGTTTGCTTTCAGCCGCAGATGAAACGATCCCATTAAAAAACTCTGCAAATAGCAAAATTTCCTCTCCCCCGTGGTGGGATTCGGAATGTTCTGTGTCAGTCAAGGAAAGAAATCGGGCAGAACTTGAATTCACATGTGACTTATCCTTTGAAAATTATTTAACTTTCCAAAAGATTTCCGCTCACACGAGAAGATTTCTGAGCAAAAAGAAATTTCAAGGATGGCGTGCATTCTGCGAATCTCTGGAACCCCGCACCCACCCGTCTACAGTCTGGAAGAGAATAAAATCCTTTCGCAGATCTCAGACTGATCTCAACAACACCTCGTCTAACGACCCGACACCCTGGCTTGTGGATTTTATTACAAAATTATCCCCCCCTTTTGTTCCTTCAGAAGCTCCTACCGTTATAAACACCTCCTTGTCATCTCCTGACAGTATGAATGCCCCCTTCTCTTTTGAAGAACTAAGCTGTGCTTTGGACCATTTAAGGGATTCGGCGCCGGGTGCGGACGGCATTCCCTATTCGTTTATTACCAGGTCCTCTAATCCTACCAAAATTTTTTTTTTGAATATTATAAACACAATTTTTGAATCTGGCATAGTCCCTATTTCATGGAAAACCCAAATTATCATTCCAATCATAAAACCTGGGAAAGACCCATCTAATGCAAACTCGTATCGACCTATCGCCCTATCATCTGTTTTAGCTAAAATCATGGAACACCTAATAAAAAACCGTCTGGAATGGATAGTAGAGAGCAAGGGATTGTTACCCAGAAGCCAGTTTGGCTTCCGAAAAGGCATGGGCACTATGGACAGCCTAAGCATTTTTTCATCAGATGTTCGACTAGCTCTCTCCGAGGGAAAACACGTCATAGGTGTGTTCTTAGACATAACATCAGCTTATGATAACGTGAATCTTCCACTACTCTGGCAGAAGATGCTCAATCTGTGTATTCCTGTGAAGATGATCAATGTCATTTACAACATGTTTATGGGTCGCTCTATCGCAGTGCGTGTTAACGGTTCCACAACCCCCTCCCGTATGGTCTGGAACGGCTTGCCTCAAGGTTCCGTTCTTAGCCCTCTCCTTTTCAGCTTGTACACGTCTGACCTCGGCACTTCAGTCAATTGCTTCTGCAAAATCTTGCAATATGCAGACGATATCGCCCTGTACGCTTGTTCCAAATCTTTTTCAGATACTGAAAGACGCCTCAACTCTGCCCTTTTTTACCTAGACTCTTGGCTTACCGATCACGGCCTCTCTCTTTCAGCTAACAAAAGCACAGCTGTCGTTTTTTCCCGCAAGAGACGCCTCCCTGAAACTGAAATACATGTTAATGGGGAAATCATAGAACTGAGGGAAAAAGTAAAATTTTTAGGCATTATTTTGGACTCAAAATTATCTGGCATCCATCACCTCAACTATATTTGTCAAAAAGCTGAAAAAAGCATAAATGTCCTACGTGCACTTTCTGGTGTTCGTTGGGGATCACATCCGTATAACCAAAAGCTCCTGTACAACGCAATCATTAGAAGTCATTTTGATTATGGCGGCTTCCTTCTGGAACCATACAACAAAATAGCCTTGGCTAAGATGGACAGAATCCAGGCAAGATGCCTGAGAATAATCACAGGTACCATGAAATCCTCACCAACAAACGCTCTTCAAGTCGAATGTCTGGAGCCCCCTCTACATCTACGTAGACAATTCCTTGCTAATAGATTCCTCTTCAAGATCTTTCAATATTCTTCTCACCCTTTGCTTCCCGTATTGCAATCCTTGTCGGAGATTATCCCTTCCTCCAATTATTGGTCACACAAGAAACCCCCCCTTCTTATCAACAGTTTTAACAAAATTTCCAATCTCCCATTCCCTATTTACCAAAATTATATGAACCCGTTGTTTGAAACTGATTTTAAATGTTTAACGTTTCGCCCAACAGTCTATCTTAGTTTTGGCATCATGAAAGATACCCCTGGAGCAAACCAAGTCTTCAACGGTATAGTTAAGAGAGAATGGCATGACTGGACTACTGTTTTTACCGACGCTTCAAAATTACACGAACATGGCGACTTGGGAGCCGCGGTTTGGTTCCCCAAGTTCAATGTCGTACTCAGTTTTAAATCCCCCTATCTGAATTCGGTCTTTTCGGGAGAGGCAATTGCAATACTCGAAGCCATTTTATATATTGAGTCCCATAAAATTAATAAATGTTTGGTTTTCTCAGACTCACTAAGTTGCCTCCAAGACATTATTAAGCTACCGTTTCATTCCAAAGACAATTTCTCCATCACCCTCCAAATTAAGGAAGCTCTGTACCGATGTCATTGTGCGGGAATTGAGGTAACTCTGGCCTGGATTCCCGGTCACAGTGGGATTAGTGGCAACGAAGCAGTAGACGCCTTTGCAAAGGATGCGACAAGAATTGGCGTATGCAAATACTGTAAGTGCTTTCCCAGAGATCTGCTCGCCATGACCAAACCCCAAATGCTAGCCTCCTGGTCGGTCCTTTGGCAGGAATCACGACAAACTGTTGGTAGACACTATGGTAATCTCCAACCAAATTTACCCACTAAACCCTGGTTTTTTAAACGTCGCGATTTGCCTAAAAACATCACTTCCACTATTATTCGTTTGCGCTTAGGCCATGTTTGCACACCTGTATTTTTGCGTAAAATCAGAGTTCGAGATCACTCTCTGTGCGAGTGCGGCCTAGAAGACGGTACCTTGGAACACATTTTTTTCAATTGTCCTAATATTGCTGTTCCACTTTATAACTTACTTTCTCCAAAATTCCCCCGCCCCATTAACATAAACAACCTCTTAACTTTAGTGTTCTCCCCCCATATTGTTACTCTATGTAAATTTATCCACTTAAATAACATATATTTATAAATATTGTTTTGCTGTTTTGTTTTACATTCTCAACTGAGTACTCCCGTAGTCCAACTTACCAACACCGGTTAATGTCCTATTAGAGCTTAGCGAAATTTTTTTTTTTTGTTTCGTTTTTTTTCTTTCAACTGTGACATTGGCAAAATCATCAGTTCTCATATTGATGGAGCCATAAAAATAAAAAGTGAAGTGATATTTAAATTATATTTTAATCTCAATGGCTGACATTGGCAAAATCATTGATTATTTCGATGGAGCCATAACATTTAAAAGAAGAAGAAGAATCTCAATGGCAACGGGTTTACTATTAAAGGCCGTTAAATAGTGAATTTTAATCTTCAGTAGGAAACTAGTTTTCAGAACATTCTATGATTACTCATGTGGTAGCTGGGAGAGTTCTGAACTACGTCATCAATGCTTTTGCTACGTTGGCCGGCCGTTACATCCTGGAGATTCCATTTGCCTATTACCTACTGGAAAAGGCTTACTACATTCCACGTTCAATGCATTGTGTATGCAAACCGTACAGGAACTTGTGATGTGTAATATATATTAAAGGTAATGCTGTACTGAAATAGTGGTTTTATTTATTTTGAGTCACATGTTTCGAGCTCTAGGAAGAACAATCCCATATCTTCATGAGTTTTGTTTATAATGCTCCTCCTTATCAGCCTCGTGGTTATGCGGGAAGGGGCGAGCGAACCCGCACAGGGCCCGTCCAAATCAGGTCCTAACCTTAGATCAGGCTGTTTGCACGTATGTCATCCGGCTCTCTGTAAGGTTAGTGCCTTTGGTAGTGTAGTAGTATTGGGGTCTGAGCCAAACGGCATCTTGGAAATAATTGACTTTGACCTACATTATAATATATTATCTTAAGACTACCTACTACATCTTTCTCCTTAAACTAACTTAGAAAACAGGAATATGATTAGTAATTCTTTACCTACTTCCTAATACATATTTTATTGTATATACTTATCGTATTAGTATACGTATAGTATTGTGGTGGTGGTCGACGGGCATAGAGCGCGTGGTCGCGGACTGTGAGGCCTGGCAGCGGCATCGCGGCGCCAACCCGCGACAGCCGCTGCAACCGTAGTGCCTGTGCACCCCTGATAGGTGCTAACTGCCGACGTATTTTAAATAGAGAGAAGAGGTACCTACTTGTAGTGGACTATTATTCTAAATTTGTATAAATAGCGCAGTTACAGAACTTATAGAGTGCAACCACGATTAAAGCGCTGAAAGATATTTTCAGCAGATTTGAGATTCCTCAGAAAATTGTCACCGATAACGGTACACAATTCTCTTCGGAAGAATTTAAATTATTTTGTAAGTCTTGGGAATTTATACACGAGACTAGTTCGCCATTATATCCACGATCAAACGGTCCTGCGGAGCGTAATGTACGCATGGTAAAACTGTTTATGGTAAAAGCAGAAGAGACAGGTGAAGATTTGCAGCTTGCATTACTTAATTTTAGAAATACCCCGGTCACCGGAGAGCACTACTTGCCTGCACAGTTATTGATGAGTCGTCGACTAACACTAGATTACCAGTTTACGTCAAAAATCTTTAACCAAAAGCTATGACTAAACAAACGGTAAAAGACGATAGAGATAAAATAATAAATGAATACAAAGAAAATTAAACGAACACGAAATCTGGGAAGTTTGGTCCAAATGATCCAGTAAAGATGAGAAGCAAAAATGTGTGGATAAATTCAAAAGTAATCACTAAGGCTAGAGATAATCGCTCCTATTGGGTTGAAACGGAAAATGGGGGAGTTTTTCGCCGCAATCGGCAACATCTGTTAAACTTACCTAAATGTGATAACAAGTTTGCCGGTGAATAAAAGTTTACGCTTATGTTTAGATCCGAAAAATTTAAATCGCATGGTGAAAAGGAGCCATTTTCCGTTACCAACAATTGACGATATTTCTAATAATCTAGTAGAAGCTAAATATTTTTCTAAATGTAATGCAAAAAACGGATTTTGGATGCAAGAACTTGATTTAAATAGTACTGTACTTTCGCAACACTATACGGCAGATATAGATTCCTGCCTGCCTTTCGGGATAAATTGTGCTCCAGAAATATTTGACAGAGAAATGACGAATATTTTTAAAATGGAAGAAGTGGAAGTTTACATCGACGATGTGCTGATATGGGGAAGCACGAAGGAAGAACACGATGAAATGCTGAAAGAAGCGAAAGAAAACGGAGCCAAATTTAACAAAGAGAAGTGTTTGTTTGGGGTCAAGGAAATAACTTTTCTGGGATACATTTTTAGTGAGTGTGGGATGAGGCCCGATAAGAATCGAGTTAAAGCCTTAACAGAGATGTCTACTCCTTCTGATAAAAAGGAACTGGAAAGATTTTTGGGAGTCACTAATTATTTGTCCAGGGTGCGTGAATTACTAGGAAAAGACGTGGAATTTCAAAGGTTATATAACCATGATCAGACTTTTAAAACATTAAAAAATAAAATAAGCAATGCGCCTGTTTTAAAATATTACTCACCGGAGGAAACATTGACAGTGTCGGTGGACGCAAGCTCCCACGGTCTGGGAGCATGCCTGTTGCAGGACGGACGGCCTGTGGCTTATGCTGCATGCACGCTCACGCTGACAGGAGCTACTCGCCGTTATATTTGGGTGCACTTGTTTCCACCAATACATATACGGCCACGATAAGGTAACGGTGGAAAGTGACCCTTGGAAACAATAACTAAACGAAACATCAGCTAGACTATAGCATCTAATTATAAAACTTCAGCATTATTCTATCGATTTACAATATAAACCTGGCTAAATGCTATTTATAGCTCACACATTGTCACGAGCGACTACGGCATGGGGCAACAACGATGACCTATGTGAAGATGTGATGATTCGCATAAATACATTATCCGAAAATGCTAAAGAAAATTAAAGAAGAAATAGAAGACTCGAGTTTTTTTTCCTTTACTTAGGGCCCTTAAATTTGGTTAGTGTAATAAACCTTTAACTTTCTTTTACGTTAGGATGATAGGATAATTGGAGCGGGAGCGCCGCCTCGCGGCGCAGCGCATGCGGGACCGGTGGAAAGAGGGCTTGGCGGATGGTGCTCGTACCATAGAGGCGATTCACCCTGTCCTCGTAGAGTGGGTAAACCGGTCCCACGGGCCACTGTCGTACCACCTTGTGCAGGTGCTGACCGGGCACGGCTGCTTCGGTCACTACCTGCACAAGGTGGCGAGGAGGGAACCGTCCCCGTCGTGCCACGAGTGCGGCGCTGCGGATGACACCGCGCAGCACACCCTAGAGGTGTGTAGCCGGTGGGATGAGCAGCACCGCACTCTGACGGGGACTATAGGGCAGGACCTCTCGTTGCCGAGCGTGGTTGCCGCCATGCTCGATAGCGAGGAGTCCTGGGAGGCGGTGGCCTCCTCTTGCACAGAGGTTATGTCGCAAAAAGAAGGCCGCGGAGCGGGTGCGCGAGGACGCGGCGGACGCGCACCCGCTTTCGCTGCTCGCCTGGTCCCCTAGTGAGACCAGCGGGCTCTGGACAGGGACTCCGGAGCCTGCATTGCACGGCCTCACTCGTCTGGGGGGCGGGTTGGAGGACAACCGACTCGTCCCTCCGTTGGCACGGGAGCCCTGGCGCAAGCTAGGGCGGCCGGGCGGCGTCGTGGTGAATGTTCACTGATCCCACGGCGCCGACTCAACCGGCGAGAGGGAAACCCGGGGGGGTTTTAGTGGGGTAGGCCTTCCAGTGTGGAGGGAGAGTCCCCACATAATTCCTGAGTCTCCCTGGGCTCAGGGGTATCCATAAAGATTTCCCCCCCGTAAAAAAAAAAGGATGATAAGGATAAGACAAAATAAAACAATGTCATTTCAATACAATTTTAATAAACTATTATAAGCCTTATAAGCACAGAAATGTAAATAAAGTTGTTCCTTTAGTGATACTAAATTTTACCAGGCTATTAGTCGGTTTTTTGTAATGAGCTCTCAAAATCAAGAAAGTTTGAATTAAAAACAAATTATTTTTGACCTGCAAATTCCAGAAAATCGTTAGGGCTTTTTAATACTATGTAAAATAAAATGGAA